CTAGGGTGCCTGGACCCAGAACTTTACCCGGCTGCGAGACACACCTTTACTGGATGGACAATTGGGTGGTGCCATTGGGCCACCCAGCCACAGGAATACTCCGATACTCCCTATCAACCCTAAACGATGGACCCCTGCCCGAAAATGCTGAATGCTGCCATGGGAAAACCGCGAGACAAGGCACCTTGCCGGTTCTGGCCTCTTCTCTCCCACTGGCCCCCCTCGGCCCTATCAGCAGCCTTTTGTCCCATGGTTCCCCCTGCCCCATTGCTTGCCTGCCCCCACTGGGTGAGTTGGATGTGAGGCGTCTTCAACGGTGGGAATTGAGGGCGACAGCCCTAAACCCTAAAAAGTAGTGGTTTGGGTGGTGGCCTGTAAAAGCTCACAGCCGGAGGCTTCGCGCGATATGCCGCCCCCCCACACCTCCCGGGTGTGTCGGGGCGCCATTTCCACATGGTACTTACTGCCGCTGCGCGGCAGACGCCCTAAACCCTAAACCCTAAACCCTAAGCCCTAAACCCTAAGCCCTAACCCCTAAGCCCTAAGCCCTAAACCCTAAATTTCCCCCCTCCGAGCGCCCATCAGATCCACGGGCGCGAGGATCCAATGACCAGCCGGGAGCTTCGCCTTGCTGCGGGGGGCATCCTCCAGGCCAGGTAATTTTAGGGGCGCTAATGATTACTTATACTATTTTTGGGCTTAGGGTTTAGGGTTTAGGGTTTTTAATGGTTACCTCTATAGGGGCCTTAATGACTACCTATACTATTCTGGGTTTGGGGTTTAGGGTTTAGGGCTTAGGGTTTGATGGAGTTAGAACAGGGTTTTAGGGTTCCTTTAAGGGGTTTTATATAAGGGCTACTATAAGGTTTAAGGGTTCATGCAGGGGCTTTGATGATTACCTATACAACGGTTGATGATATAGAGCCTGCATTACCCATAATACTAAGGCATGTTCCATAAATTCCCATAGTTTAGGGTCCATAAGGTAATGCAGGGTTTATATCATCAACAGTATTTTCGGGGGTTCCTTATTATATTTAGAGTACAATATATCCTATGGCCCAACCTTAAATCCTTAATATGGGGGCCTTAATAATTAGAATAGGTTTTTGGTGCCCTTGGTACTATACTTATATTGAGGGGAACCCCCAAAATAGTATTGGTAATTATTCAGGCCCCTGTATTACCTACCATGACTTAAGGGTTTCGCCCCATGTAGGTACTTAGGCGGATGCTTCAACTTTGATCGTTCCTTTCTCTGAATCCGCCATCCAAACCCTGAGCCCTACATCCTTGTCACAATCCTAAATCCGAAACCCTAAAGCCCGGAGCCGTAGACCCTAAGCCCTAAGGCCTAAAAGCCCTAAGCCCTAAACCCTAAAAGCCCTAAACCCTAAACCCTAACAGCCCTAACCCTAAAGCCTAAAATAAAAGCCCTAAAACCCTACACCCTGAAAGCCCTAAACCCCTAAACCCTAAAAGCCCTGAACCAGAGACCCGAAACCCGCAAAGCAGAAACCCACAACGCCCCTCATGTGAGGCCATCGCCGCGCCTGACGACTTAGATACGGCTCGTGGCCTGACCAGCCTGACCACAGTGGTTCAGGGTTTAGGGTTTTTGGGGTTCAGGGTTTAAAGTTTAGGGTTTAGGGGTTTAGGGGTTTAGGGGTTTAGGGGTTTAGGGTTTAGGGGTTTAGGTTTTAGGGTTCAGGGTTGAGTGTTTAGGCCCGTTTAGGGTTTAGCAGCTCTGTTTAAGGGTTCTGTGAACGCTTCTTTGGGGATCCATTTTAGGAGCTGTTTTAGGGGTTCTGGAAAGGATTCTGAATGGGGGTTCGGGTTTTGGGAGGTTTAGGGTTTCATTTAAGGCATTCCCTAAACCGCAACGAAACCCTAAACCCTACGAACCCTATAAGCCCAAAGGGCCCTATAAGCCCTGCAAGCCCAATATGCCTTATAAGCCCTATAAGCCCTCTAAACCCTATAAACCCAAAAAGCCCTATAAGCCCTATAAGCCCTATAAACCCTATAAACCCAAAAAGCCGTATAAGCCAAATAATTTCCCTAAAACCCCAAACAGCCCGAGCCGGGAGCTGAAGGTCCCCCCCCCCCAGGTCACGGAGCCTCACCCAAGTTGCTTCGCAGTGGACTTTGCCGTAGGGATTTTGGGGTTTTAGGGCTAAACCCTAGACCCTTGGAGTTAGGGACTTTGGGATTTTAGGGCTAAACCCTAAACTTAAAACCCTTAGAGATGTTGGGGTTTTTTCCGCCAGTTCAGCGGAAGCATTCTGTGCAAGGCTCGCGGAAGGGTTTCGGCCTCAGACAAAAACCCAGCACAGCTTAAATGTCTAGCAAGCAGGAACACAAAGCCGCCTTGCCTAGGAGACCGACACGATTTGCGCCGGGGACCTCAAACTGTATGTGGAGAGGATTCTCCGGCGTGAAAACCTCGCCCCGGAGTCTTCATTCCACATTGGCCTCGTCCTGAATGGCAGAGTCCTCCGAGACGATGTCATCATTTCAGGCAGCCAACTAGAACATACACAATAGTACGACAGCGACTACTGTTAAAAAAAAACACGCTTGCCAGCAGGCCCTGAACTCCTAGACCTGCATCTACCCAGAGGGAGGGCCGGGCACAAAATGAGTCTCACCGAATACCTTTGCCGCTGCCGGCTAGCCGAGCTGTAAGAGCAGCAAAAAAAGAACCGTCGTCCAGGTAGTTCAGACGCCACCTGCCTCGCATAGCATACAAGCGAAAGCCTATCCGCATGGTAACTTTCCCGTGACGATTGCAATTATTTCTGCTCAAGCTCTTTCTGCGACCAGCCGCCTCGCACCCTTCTGCGCCCGCTTGCCCGCTTGCGACGCCAACACCGACCTGAGTTCTCTCAACATTCCCATCCTTGTCGAGATGCCTATTAAGATAACAGGTCTACGACATGCCCTTTCTCATCTGGCTGCAGACCCGGGAGGCGCTCTCCTAGCATCAACACAATAACCCGCAAAACCTTGCCGCACAGGTATCCTACATGTCGGGCGAGCAATACGACTGGGCATTAGCAGACTGGCTAGATGCAGAGGCACGCTCTCCACTAGGCACTATACCCAAACAACAAAGCCACGTTCACCGGGAGGAGTGCAGGTACGACGTCGCCTGGGAGGCAGGAACGAGCACGTCCAGCAAACCCAAGCATCCTGACAACATAGTGCACAGGAGCCAAACCTGCCGTCTGGTTTCCGCTTCGTGGGGCCCACCCGAGCGGAAACAGAGGCTGGACACCCTCATGTATGCTTCCATACATGCCTCGCAAAACAGCGTCCCAGGCACGGTGGCGAGCCGAAGAGCGCGAGTACCTCCAGGTTGCTGTCATGCGGCACAGCCCAACATGTCGCGTCGCTGAACGAATCCCAGGCAGACGATAACTCCTCTGCCGACACGAACCTTGGCTACATAAAACCAAAAAAATAACTAGGAGCCAAACCCGTAAACATCCTGACTGCAAACTCAATCGAACCAAGGACGGAGGAGCCGCCAGTCGAGCCAGAACCTGACCCTGAGCCTCGCGTACTACTCGCAGCCCGGCGGCACTTTTAGAAACAGTTGGCTTCACGGACACGACATCAGCTAAGGACGCTGAGGAGGGCGGCTGGCGACATGGCGAGGAGTTTTCATTTTAAATCAAGTCCGCGGGCGCCTGCGGACAAAAAAGACGCCGTCCGAGCTGAGCCAGCAATACGCAAACGGCACAAAGGAATCACCGTCAGAGCGATTGAAGAAGCAGGCCGACCTGCACCGCAGCACGGGTTTGCAGCACTCCACGCCAACGAACACATACACTGCAACATCTTGACTTTCAACCTTTGTTACGTCAACTGCCATCAACCTGCACTAGCTCCAAGAAAGCAAATACAGCAACCAGCTACACTGAAGTGTTGGTTTAGGTAGCCGGCAGGGATGCTCTCACCTGCGCTGAGAGGAAAAGGCTTCGGCCCGACAAGAATGGCTATATTATATTGACTTGTCAAAGACAATGTCAACGCCAGCAGACGTAAGCCGGTGGGTGTCAGCACTACGTGAGTGGACCCCACCGCAGTCCCAAGGCTGGATTGACCTGAGCCACAACAATCTCGATGAGTATGATGCTGCCGACGTCCTGGACACCCTGGGCACAAGCATCCACTATATCAATTTATCCTATAACCAGATAAAAAGTCTGCGCCCTCTCGTAAGCTTCCTCTACTACACAAGAACGGGACTGAACTTCCACTCCAACGAGCTGTCCCTAGCAGACCAGCGACGACTCGCGAAAATACGTCGTCAACGCGAAGAGGAAGAGAACCCCTGCACAAAAGACCACTTCAGGATGGTAAAAATAATAGCAGCAACAATAGTAATAGTCATGGTGTAAATAGTAGCAAATGGGATTTCGGGGTTTAGGGTTTACATTGGGATCTTGGGGCTTAGGGTTTACGGGGACTAGGGTTTGCATTGGGGCGTTTGGGCTTAGGGTTCAGGGTTTTGAGAGTGGCTTAATTTTGGGGATTTAGGGTTTAGTCTTTGGGTTTTGATTGGCAATTATCGTGCGTGTGCACTGGTCGCACAAGCAGACTTGGCGTTTGTTTGCCTTGGGAACCCAAAATCCTTCACCTGAGGCCTAGCGCTCGTGGCTCTTCATGAGCGGTACAGCTGCCGCTGTGCCTGCAAGGAGAAGAGTTCTGAAGGACTTCACGAATGCTTCTACATGGGTCGGTTTGGAAGGGTTGCTGTAAGGAGAGGTTTTGCTTTACGGTTTTTGGACTTAAGGTTCTAGGTTCTGGTGCGGGGGGAGGGGGGGGGCTTCGGGTTTTAACCCAGGATTTGGGGCGTAGGGTGTTAATCCTGTTCTTCAGTACTAGAAAGTCCTTTCTAGCCGCTTGTAGGATCGTTGAGTTGTTATGGTTACTGAAAGTGGCAATTAAGAGTTTCAGCCAGCAGGGGACCTGAAGAAAGACCCCAGCAAAGTGCGATGCCTCATGTAAGGACCCTCCCCCTTTTACAAAATCGCCTACCAAGAACTCCGATGAAATCGAGGCTCCCTTCGCGCCCATGCAGCACAAGCGCTGCGAACGATCGCCGGGCCTCGGGGTGCTTGCAACGGAGCGATGCTGGCAGGGCTCGCCGATCTGGCGCCTTGTCTGTCATAGGTCTGCTCAGGGTAGTACAGGGGCCTGAATCATTTGTGATGGTATCGCTTTACCATCGTTATTATTTTAAACGCTGCGTGTCGTCCGCCTCGGCCCGGCCGTATGTTGGGAGGAAGACATGATGCCAGGTCTGGGGCTTTTGCTTTCGCAGGATATCGGGGTGCAGCGTCTGCGGGGTGAAGATTGATAGGGTTTGCGCATACACAAAC